CAGTTTAGATTTTTGTAATAATTATTATGTGTAAATTTAGTGTACTATACGAATGCATTTGCGTCCATTATTTTTGGTAATAAATATTACTAAATTATAAGCAAAAATTCACTTTAAAACAATTTCAAATTGCTTTTATTTAATCTCAAATTTTTATTTTGTTAATTATTAAAAATTTAAGCTGGGCAAAAGAAAACCATACATCATCTAATTAGTCGTCGTAACTCGATTGTTATGTTAATAATTACTTCCTTTGTTGTGTATTTGTTTACATCCTATAAGTATGCACTAATTATTTATTGCATAAAATTACAATTTTGGTACTTGAAAATAGTTTAAGTTGCTATAAATGTAAAAGTATTTTCACTTGTTCAAGGAAAATCTGCTATTTTACAAGCCAATAGTTTAATTCCATTTGGTTTATCTTTGATGCTGATTTACGATATATTTTCTATGATCAATTATTATTGTGTATCAAATGTTTTCTGTGAAAGTAATGGGATTTTAAATGAAAAGAAAATTATTTTTCATATGATTACTTTACACCGACTTATTTCTCTTCAAAAATCTAATCTAGATTAATTAGTTCTACTTATTTGTGCTTGTGTTTCATTTATAATTCTCACAATTTTTAAATTTTTTTTAAAATCGATATTGTATTCAAAATTGCACATAACATAATGTAAGTTCACATTAATTGAGCATTATTGAAATTTTATTGAGCAAAACAAGTATGACTATGAGCTTATTGCTCATTAATAAAATAAACGTGTTTAAAGAAAGCATGAATAAATGTTATAATCTTAATATACAATGGAAAACTTAAGAGTGAGTCCTTTACAAAATTTAATATTAAATAATTTCCGGAAAGCATTCTGTACAAATCCATCATATATAATGGTGTTTAATTTTTAAAATTAATTGCAATATAATTATAGGGTGTGATTAAAAAACTGCATGATATTTAAAATTCTTAAATTTTTTTTTGATGCGAGAGAAGATATTAACGTAACTGTTAGCAGGCAAAGCTTAAAAAATAATATAAAATATTGCACCTATTAAATTACATAATTTATTACCTCCTGTTAACATTAAAATCTTCTCATCTTATTAATTTTAAATAATAATTTTTCATTTTTTATAATCTTACATGAATTTTTCAAAATATCTTTAATAATATTTTTGAATAATTATCACTTAATTAATAATCACGTATATAGTGTGATATAGAAATAAAATTATTATTAAAGAATATCAGTGAATTGTTTTTAAATATGTACAAAAATATTTACATAATTATTTACATATTTTATAGGTATATATAGTTTTTTTGTTACTGTGTACATGAACAGTATTTGGTGTTAAAATCGCTACTACAACATGTTGTTATTTTTTTCTTAAAATATTTGTTTTTTTAATAAATTATAGTTAAATCGCTATACAAGAACATTATTATAAATAACTTAATAATAAACGATAATAAAAAAAATGTTATTACGATATTAATGAAAATTAAAATAGAAAATAAGAGAAAAAAAAAACTCCACAAATTTTTTGCTCTTGTACACTCTTGAGATTTTGTTTCAATATAAGTTAATACTCGTATAGAGATGCCGACTAAGTATGGGAGAAAAAATATTGTTAGCCTACAAGAGTAGTAGATTAGAATACGATATTATATAAAATATTTATTTTATTTTGCTTGAGTCGTTTGAAATACTCATATCACCTCAACAAGAGTTTGTTTAGTTACAATGATTCGGTCAGCAAGTTTGATGGTCACATCAATGCAATTTATTTTAGCCTTATTTATTCCACCAAGATTTTTATTAAAACCGAAAATAAAGATAAATTCATACCCTTTTTAATTACAAGTAGCTTAATATTTAAAACATTATTGTATAAGTTCGTCATTAAGTACTAAAACACTTAGAGCAATACAAAAATTCACTTTTTCGCAATTAAATTAGGTGATCAATAAGTATCACAAAATTACATTTTATAAATTATAGTAAATCTACTACAACAATTGATAAACGGCAAATTTTATTATTATATTTCAAAAGTTTTCATTAAATATTATTAATTCATTAATTTTTTTTTCTATAAATTTAAAATCAACTTGTAATTTGAAAGCAACTAGCATCTTCTTTAAGATATTCTATAAATACAATAATCTTATGTACGTGCACAGTTGCATGTGATATTTGATTCTTATATACCTTAACGGATTTTGAGGTCGATCAAATTATTTTTTGATATTATTGATTGAATTTTTTAAATGTATGAATTTTTATCAGATTTCCCCAGCATGTATGTACAAATGTATGTACATATATAAGAATTTGCGGATAACTGCTTTATATAAACAGTTAATTTAGAATTTTATTTTGTTAATAAATATGGTTTGGTTTTTGTTTTGTAAATGAGGGAAACAATAGAAGTTCAATAAAATTATTAACAAGGGGTGGGATGATGGATGAAAATGTTTGATTTTATTAATAATTTGAAAATTTCATTTAGATCAGTGACTGTTTAAGTTTATTTTTAAATATGTATTAGAATCATACGTAATTGCATTTAATTCAAACTTTTGGATTTGGAAATTAATATTGCATAGAGGGCTTGTGAAGGCCGGCACATGCGGGGATGCTGACCTAGTAGATGAATCAGTGCCTCTACCACTGAAATAATTCATTGACATCATAAATGAGGAAACTAAAAGGAAGGGTGAGGTCTTGTGGACGGGAGCTCACAAGTGCATGGTGATCAGAGCGCTGTGGCCTTGTGGGAAAAAGACGAGGGGGTTCTTCTGATACGGTAGTGCTAATTTCAGCATACTGGTGTGGGTGTGATGGGGCATTGTCTCCAGCAAAAAAATGGCCTAGAGGCTTGTAGTCACTATGACGGATGTTTGTCAAGGATATCAGGATATTGCAGGGATTTAGGATATGGAACATCTTTTTTGTGCCTGTTCGTTTCTGATGTGGAAGAGGAAGCGCATCGTGAGGGTCTTTTTATATGATGGCCAAGAAAGATGATTGGTCCCGGCAGAGGGTTTTTTGGTTTTTGTATTACAATTTCCTTCATTTAAACTAAAATATATATGTAAAATGATTAATATGTAAATTTACGCTCACATCTTCACATACACGCACTAATTATTTATTTCATCTTCTTTGCGGATTTAAAAAAATCTCATAATATTAAAAAAAAAAATCTTTGGTCATCATTATTTTATAGCCATACTTTTTATTTAACCATACTTGCACAGTTTAATTGAAGATTACTCACTTTTAAGTTGGATACACTTTTCTTATTCTTTTAATACCATTTAACTACTACATAATGTGAAAACAATAACGTCCAGAAGAACACATAAAATTGAAAAAGAAAAAAAAGTTTTTTAGTCAATAAAATAAATTTCATATATGCGTATGTACCATCTTCTTGCAAAAGTGTAAATGTATGTATGTAAATTTTTGCAAAATTTTAAAGTTATTATTGCATGTGATGAATGCAACTGAATCTTTTATATACCTTAATTCGTATATTTCATACTCGTTTAATACAATATAATGGAGAGTAACTGGGAGTAATTTGTTTTCTTGTAAAAAAAAAAAAAATATTTTGTGTGACATTCAACAAATGCTCTTTTATTCTCAATAGGGTGGGAAGTTTGATTGCAGAATTATTTTTTTTTTCTTCTCATTTTAAACTTCTTGTATAATGTAAATATAATATTTATTGCTTATGATTATTGTACAGGGTTGGTTTGTTTTTCCAAGTTAAAAATTTTAATTGTTAATTTTTCAAATTTTATGAAACGTAGTACAGTTTACAAATCCAACATTATTAAATTTATAATTCTGTTTATTGAGTTTAGTTTGATTTGATTAATGTTTAAAGAAAGTTTGATGTATAACAGTTAGTTTGATTGTGTTTGATATCTATTTCTTATAAAACAAAATGTGTTGACAGTGTTTTATTTCTAAAGAGTTTTTCGCCCCATGTATTTGATATCTCTGACGTTTTCGTTATTTCATTGACGCGACTAATCGACTTTCGGAATTATACGTAACTCGCGCAGTTAAACCGGGCAATAATTCCGCGTCGATGAAATTGCCGTCTTTGCTACTGCAAAGTATTGGCACAGCTAAAATTAGCTTCTCTTTATTATATATAGATTGAGATTAGAACAATAACTGTCTAAGTCAATTTTTTAAGTTTTTGAGTTTAATACAAATTCGAATTCTCCGTGGTATTTTCTATATATTGTCAATATTTGATCAATATATCTCAAGTAGATCTACTACAGAAAAAAGTTATAAAGTTACTTTTTTCTAATATAAAATTCAATATTTGAAATTCATTTATTTAGAACAGTTTAAAACACAGAATTTAAAAGAATGGTTAACACAAACGGTGAATTTATTCCAATAGAAAATTTTCCTCTAAATTAGAAAATTTGTAAAATTGTGACATTTTGATTATAATTATATTGGAGTGTCTTATGATGCTTAAGTTTCGTGCCCCATTTTATGTTTCTATGAATGCCTTCTATTCCAAAATCACACTTATAAGAAATAGGTTTGCTGTTCAAGACCCCGATAAATTATAAATTCCAAAACATCCGGTATAAATATCAAATATGCAGTATGAAGAATGTTTGTACTCGTGTTGTACGTTAGTAAACAATCATATTTATCGTGTACACAGTAATGACTACTTAAAATTAAAAAAAGAAAAAAAAAATTTGTTTTCTGATTTTGTTTATATTTGTGAATTTTTTTCATCTTCATCTCTAAGGCTATTTTATTAATTTATTTAAGAAGACATCTTTACGCATTTCTTATATATACGACAGACATACACTTAAATATTTCTATACATATCCAAAATGGGACTTTAATAATAATAATAATAATTTAATAATTGAAAATAAAAAAATGTATGTATGGCAATTTAATTGAAAATTTCGTATATAAAAGTGTAAGTCACGGTTAACTATAAACTTAGTACGGGAACGATTTTACACAAGAAAATTATTTTTTTTTTTTTTTAACAATTTTAAATATTTTGTAATTTAAAAAAATGAAACTGGTAAGAATTGACATAGTGATCGAATTAAAAAGTAGAATTAAAAATTTAATATTTAAAAGTGAAGAATTTAATAAAAAATTATAAGTGGAAATTATTTTGGTTATTGTTAAAATTTAAGAAATTGTTCTAAGAATTCTGGAACTGTTCTTTTGAGTGTTTGCAAAATCTATTTGCTTTATATTTTTAATTTAAATTTTATTTTATTAAAAATTCATAAATTTTAGATAATTTTTGGAATATGCTTAACATTATTAATTAATAATATGAGAGCGGCACCAGTTGATGATTCAAGTAATGCACAAATTGTTAAATATGAAAGTGAGAATATTGGAATTGGTGGTTATAGATTCGCGTAAGTTTTGTTCTTATATATAAAAAAGAAAATAAGAAAATTTATTATTTAATTTAATTTTCTTGAATGAAACAAATATATTATACCCCAGCAACTGAAATGTCTTAACTCCAAAAAATTACGATTTTGAGGAAATCATGAAAAATCATTTTTGATTAAACTCTAAATGGTTTAAATTAAAAATGATTGTTAAAATTGTATATATGACCTTTAAATCTAATTTAAATACATTTTAGTTGTATATAGCTGAAATAGGAAGTATTTAAAAATAAAACCTGGAAAAACGAAATTTTTAGAGTTAATACATTATAATTGCATGGATCCTAAGTTTGTAATTTTATCTATATTTATTATTAAAATTCTTTTTTCATTAAAATTATTTAAAATTTCTTATAATATACATGTATGTAGTTATGAAACAAGTGATGGAATTGCTAGAACTGAAACAGCTGAATTAAAAAATGCCGGTACTGATGATGAAGTACTTGTTGTACGTGGTACAATATCATGGGTTGGTCCAGATGGTATTACATATACAATAGAATTTGTTGCTGATGAAAATGGTTTTCAACCGAGAGGTGATCATTTACCAAAATAAAATGATTATTGAAAACAAAAAATCGCATAGGAACGCCATCTATATTTTTATATCTAAGTGTAATATGAGGCCAGAATGAAATGCCAAAAACAAAAAATTTCTAGGCATTCTTTACTATACGTATGTTTGATATTAAGAGTTAAAAATAAGAAAACAAAAAATTTTATTTAATTTTGTAAAATTGTTGGCTATTAATTTTTTTTTTTGTTTATTATATGAGTTTTGTGATGAATTTTTGTTGTAAATATGTATGTAGTTTATGTTTGTTTTTTTATAAAATTTTTTTTTTTTTAAAAATACATTTATATAAAAAAAAAAAATATAATGAAATTTTATTAAATTTTATATGGTTACTTGCATGCTGCACATAATTCATTTTAAATTCAAGGTAATTCTAATGAGACCAATGATATTTCGAACGATTTGATCCATTCTTTCATGTTTATTGCCAAAAAAATATTTGATAAGAAATCTTATCTTCCTCAATAAATCTATATGGAATTTCTAAAAATCTATAAATTTATTTTTTACTATAAGATTTGCCGCAACAGCTGTAAAATCAGCCGGTCATTTAAATATCATTTATTTCAGAAAAAAAAAAATATTTATTAAGCATCGAATAAATCGTATGAAAAATGAATGGGACACGCAATTTTTATTAATATAAAATTTATGGTGATGATAAACTGATAACTTAATATAAAAAAAAAAATTATGATTGTAAAATATTTTGACCTTAACATTTTATGAATTTTGTACGAAAGAAAATTGTTCTCCTATAGTAAATGAGAAAAAGTGATGTAACAAACGAAAGGTTGTATAAGAAAGCGTAGGTATTATTATATAAATCTTTAATCGAGATTAATATGACAGAATATGTGCATATGTACACTTGTATGTTCTTTAAAAGGAATCGATAAAATATTGGATGGTTATTTTTGTTTTTTGGAAAACTTTCATTACTAACCTTCTTAGCTTTCATATGGGTAATTTTTGTAAATCATTAAAATGAAACATAAAAAAATGGTAATAAATTAAAATGTGCAAGTATACACGAATGCGCGCACATTATTATGAACATCTTTTTTAGAATATTGGATATTACAATATATTGCGGATGTAGATATAATGATATGTTGAAATTTTTATAAATTATTGCTTTCCAAATTGTCTTCATTTACGCACATGCCTACAATTTCGTTGGAAACTAATTAATTACAGTCTGTCGACTCTTGTATCTCAATTCCTCTATTTAATGTTAACAAGTTTTTTGTTCTTACAAAATTAGAACATAAGATTACACTATACAATAAAACATTTACAAGAAAATTTTTAAAATAATTTTAGCTTGTTTTATTTAAAATTTCCAATGGTAGATTATTCAACAGCTGACCACCATTGTAAAACGGTGTCATTGCCTTAATTTAGAAGAAATAGCACATTTATTCTATGTGCTATTTCTTCTAAATTAAGGCAATCGAAACATATTCGATGACTTTAAATTGTATTCTGTGACTTTCCCAATATAATTCAGACATCTCAATGAGATACTGTGGCAGTAGATGACTTTTTAAGTTTTTTAGTTCTAGGGGTCTAGTTTATAAGGGGTCATCATCATTGGTCAACAGAACTATTTTACAAGACTGAACACTCATATTAATATCATTTATATGTAACAAGAAGCTCAATACACCTAATATTTCTCCTTGTAGAATTTCATTATTAATAAAAATAAGATCAAAATATTTATATAGTTAAAAAATCTTTCGCTTTTTGCACTCGAGGAAAGCTTTTAAATCAGTTCTAGTTCATTATCACTGATACCATACATTTCCAAATTTGTAAGCAATATTTCTCTATTTACCATCTTATTTACCCATCTTTTATAAATTCATGTTTATATTCAAGTTTATTTCATAGCGATGACAGATTGAACTGGATTGGGGTATGCTGTGTCATAGTAACCAAAGTTTTACTATATATGATTAAATTTTATAAATACAGAGTCAGCGATTTAGTACATAGGAAGCATTCTGAAATATTGAAAGCATTCTGTTTGTATTAATTACATTAATTGTAATAATTTTGAAATTTATGATTAAATTTAATAAAATTGAATTTTTATAAAAAAAAATAAAATTATAAATTTGATTTTTAAAAATTGCTCACATATTAATGCACAACTCCTACATTATAAAATGGCAATGTATTCATGCCTTATACAAAATTATTTTAATTTCACGATTTATATTTATGTATTTTAATTATTTTGAATTTAATATCAATTTATTTAATTTAAAATTTTTATTTTAGTTCGTAAATACTAGCTATACTCGATTTATGCAACAATTTTCTGAACATTCATTTGAATGTCTCAGCCTAAATATATGCAATATTTTTTCAACATGAAACATTGGTAATATTTGAAATTTTATACAATTTATAACTGTAAAAGCGCGGATAAAAAAAACCGTTAATGCAATATGGTTTAATTTAAAAGCTTTAAAAACTTCTAAAATAAATTCAAAAAAAAAATTTATACACTCTTGTTTTATTATAAAAATCCATAATACGATTTATTTGCTGTTGTGAAAAGTTTTGGGGTATAGGTACAATTGAATATTCTTAAAAACTATTCAACAAAATATACAGTCATATTATTATTTTACAAGAAAAATTATTAAAAAAAAATTTACATATCTTGTTTCTTTTTTCATAATCACTAAAGAAGATCACTATATTATATATGAAAACTTAATTTATATATAATTAAGTTTAATTATGCTCTAGGAATATGTGCACCTTCTGGTTGAAAACCATTTTCATCAGCAATATATGTTATTGTATATGTTTGACCATCATCAGCAACAAATGAATATGAACCACGTACTGAAATTGCTTCATTATCAGTACCAGCATTTCTTAATTCACCTTGTTCTTCACGTGTAATACCATCACTTGTTTCATAACTACAAAATTATTTCAAAAATAAAAAATAATTTTTTAGAAATAATTGAAAATTTTAATAATTTATATTAAACGTTAATCCTTTTATATATATTCCTTTTGCAAGTTTATTATATTATAAAAAATAATCCATTGTATATGATCCAACTTACGCGAATTTATAACCATCAACACCGATATTATCCAATTCTTGTCTTAAAATTTGTGCATTTTGTGGACTATCTAATGGTGCGGCAAAAGTAATACCGAAAATTGCAACGAATACTACTACAGCGAATTTCATTTTCGTTTTAAAAAAAATTTGTATTTTTTTTTTATAATTAAAAAAAAAATTAAAATTATTTTAATTATTACAATAGCTTTTCTAACGATGGAAGCTGATTGAATGATGCTTCTTACAATTTTATGAATTGCTTTTATAGTAAAAAAAAATATGAGTAGATTTTTTTTTTCTTAATTTTTTCTTTTCATTTTTCTTCCCCAAAAATTATTGATAAATGATGTACCTTACTTGTTTCTTGTATACAAAATACATACGACATTGCTGTTCAATTCATTTAATGAGGGAAGAAGATAGCAAAATAAGTGAACGCATAAAATGAGATGGAAATAATAAAAAATTTTTTGATATTAAAATTACAACTGTACATACGAGTATGATAGGTAAAAAATTTTTGATTTATTAAATTTTTGAAATTTTTTTTATAGGGTCCATAAATTTTTAAATGGCATTTTAAATATTTATTTAACATTAATTATTGATGATTGATTTAATTTATAAATTTCGATTGTTTGATTGGAATTGATTTAGATTTTTAATTATTTGCTATATGATCTAGATTTAATTATAATATAGATGAATATTTGAATTCGGTTGCATTAATTAAGGATGACATCATAGCGAAACACTTAATGAAACTGAAAACTATAATTGATTAAAAAATTTCATTTGACACCTTTGAAATTTAATTTGTGATTATTTTGTAATATCTATATAAAGGTTTTAGAACACAACAATCAAATTAAATTTAGTTGAAGTATATAAATTTTACTGTGTCAACGGATTTACTATGTCAGAAGCTCAATCTACTTTATAGGGTAGTAAAGTCCCAGAAATAGACAAAATTAAGTGTGATGCTATCATCTCTATGGGTTACGGTCAGCACTACCAGTTTTGAATTTAGTTAAATAATTTTTCACTATAAGTCTGTAATTTGCAGAACAAAGCCATATATTCATCACATTTATTCAATTTAAAAGAGGTTGCAATAAAATTAGTAATGCCGCGTAAGTAAGTCTTAAATCTAGTTGAAGATAGATTCAAATTAAGTTCAAATTCTCTGCATTCACCGATTTGTGAAAATTAAGAACAGCCAAATTAAACAAGCATCATCTTTGTCCTTTCTTCAAGATTATAAACTTCAAATATATTCATAATTATTAATTCTTGCTGATTTGAATGAAACACTCGGGATATCTTGTTGGCAGTACAATTTGTAAAATTAACTATTTTTGACTATATTATTGCAATTGTCCTCCAAATTTGTTAATATAGAGCATATTAACATTCTAAAATTAAATTTTTTTAATTTTCTTAATACATCATTTACTTTTACTTGTTACCGTAAATATGTAAACATGCTTACCACATTTTAAATACCCATATATATATAATGTATACAGCATCATTAATATTATTTACTTCCTTCTAACACTTAAACACAAAACATTCATTATTCCGACAAAAAAATGCAAGTAATCATCCAAATCAATCATTTCAAAAATTTTATATACCATACTCGTATTACGCAAAATCTTCAATCATAGATTTTGATGAAGAAGAACAACAAAACAACTATAATAAGCGGTTATGCTCTCAATTTAATAATATATTTCAAAAAGAAAAGAAAAACAAGAAACAACAAGGAAAAAAAATTAGAAAATAATAACAATAAGTGTTTAATATGTAGGAGGTTTCTCAATTATTATGAACAAAAGTTAATATGAAAATATTTACTTATTTAATTAAAACCAATAATCACGTGTGATTTGAAAAATACCAATTTAAACTGATTCAAAATGAAAAAAAAAATAGAAAAACAATAACAAAAAAATAGAAAAAATTTGGTAAACGGTAACTTTTCACCCCTCTGGCGACAATTTAATAAATATAATAGCTTAGAGCATAATTTCATCGTAATTGTACATACATACTTACATAATATGTTTATATATTTATATAAATATATAAACATGTACATACGTGACTGGGCATTCAATTTAAGTTTCTTGATCTTTAATATTTTTAATTAGAACGGACTGTATCTAATAATTTAATGAAAAATTTATTTGGAATTTCATCTTGTTACAAATCTCATTAAATGAATATTAATGGAAGCTATAACTTTTAATAATATTGAACGCTTAATCTTCCGTAATATTTATTTAACAACTACGAATTAAGAACAATTCAAAATCCTAATCATCAACAACTTAATTAGGGAAATTAAGCAGTTTGGAGTAGTTGGAGAATAGCTGAGGAGTAGCTGGGTAATTATCCAGTCCACAACATATGTATAGCCTTCAGGCAATCTGTCCTCAAATAATTGAAAATTATTATATTCCGGAATTTACTCTCCCAAAGAATGCTGTACTATATTCGTTTTTTCCTTCTCTACTTCTCGTGGGAAAGTAGGACTGCTACAAAACTTTCGTCATCGCACTCTGTTTTGGGATATATTTTTGATTTGTGCCCATGTACAAGTAATTTTTGTCGATAGATCTAACAAATTTTTTTCGTTGACGGCTCCGCTCTAGTTCCTATCTGACGATTGTTTTAGGGGGACATCTCAAGGTATGCCCAATCCAATCCAATTGAATTAAGCTTCAGTCCCGAAAAATACAATCTAAAATATAAAATTAATAAAATGTTACACATTATAATTAAAATTTTGTAAATCAAAGTTAAAAGTTATTCTACAACATTGTTTCTATAATATTTTATGTTATGTCCGATTTATAATACGATATGAATATAGTATTGACCTAGTCCGAAATTATTTCCGACTGCTTAATCATAATTTTATTAATAATATGAAAATTTATTTAAATATATTACTTATTAATTCAATAACAAGCATACCATAACAAGCAGTTCAATCAATTACTGTCAAATTTTCTTGTAATCATTAGAATTTATAGTTTTCTTTGTTTATCTTGAATGTCACATTTCTCGTATATATTAAATGTTAATCATTAATTCATTCTCTTATTTTGTTACGGGAATGGAAATCTTAAAATGTTCCCTGAGAATAAGTTTTGTATTACCTGTACATACTTGTAAAATTCGATATAATTTTCAGTCAATATAAAATCTAGTCGTATTAAGTTGTTTTTAGAAATTAAAGTATAAATTCTCTCTAGAATTATTTTGTTATATGTATGTATGTATACCCGAGTTCTCAAAATTTCGGGTAACCTACCTTCAATTTACATATTTTCAAAAAATTACCAGACAAATCAAGAATTTTAATTATTTACAAATTACTCGTAAATCAACATTAATTGTATAAAGGAGAAGCATACCAAAAAAATTTTATCGATTTCCATATTTACATCCACAATACGAGATTATATTATACTCACTTCCGATATACATACATGTTATAGATTTTTCATACTGATAATCCGATTTTATTGATTTTTGATATGGACTTCGTAAAGTGAATTATCCATTTACATTTTACAATTTACTGTATCGTCTCATGTGCATTCCGGTACAATTATAATTATGAATACTCATTATAATAATTATGAAAAATATTAAATATATCACGATTTCAATTAATACATATAACCTCAATAATTATTGTAGATTTTTTCAAAAATTTTTATGTAATTTATATGATAATTTAATTTTTCTACTCGTAATTAAATTTTGCTTTTTTCATCCTTTCCTCCTTCTTAATCTGTAATTATGTTTTAAAAGAAATCCATGATACGAATATAGGTTTAATAAATATAAAATTAAAGAGAAGGCACATTTAATAAATATAAATAAAAGTGTTATATTGCTGTATATATCAGATCTACATAATTTTTTTTCATCTACATAATAATATTTATGTATGTATTGTGTTTATTTATTTAAAGGTTTTTTAAAAAATATCAAAATTTTTGTTATTTTTCCAATTATATTTGAAGTGTTTTTTGTTATAAGACCTATTATTATTATACTGTTATAATTATGATCTATATTGTTATATACATACTGTAAATATTTTAAAAAGTAAACAAATTTACTTAAATACTATTCAACAATTAAAATACAAGACAGAAAACAAAATGAAGTCAAAAAAGAATTGATTAGTTTGTTTTTTTGGTTTAAGAAAAAATTTTGAGATTTTTAAAATTTGTTATAAAAACTCTAGGTTTGTATATGTTTAGTTTGTGTGCATATGTGTGATATCATATTGGTATTTTTTTTGTTTTTGTTGTAATACTAAAAATACTTAAAATTTTTTAAATGGTTTTTATAAAAAAAAATATATTTACTTGTAAAAAAAAATTAAACTTAATTAACAATTTTTTTTTTCTTTTTTTCTCATTTTCTCATTTTTTTTTTAAATGTATTTATGTAATTATAAATTAAGCCTTTGGTAAATGTGCACCTTCTGGTTGAAAACCATTTTCGTCAGCTAAAAATGTAACTGTATATGTTTGTCCATCATCAGCTACCCATGAATATGAACCACGTACTGAAATTGCTTCATTATCAGTACCAGCATTTCTTAATTCACCTTGTTCTTCACGTGTTACACCATCACTAGTTTCATAACTATGTATATATGTATGTTTATGGATTAAAAAAGAAAAATAATATTAAAATTATTAAATATTTTTAATCCTTTAAGATGCATAATATAAAAATATGCTATAAGTTGACAATCCAATTGAGAAAACTTACGCAAATTTATAACCATCTACACCGATATTATCTAAATCTTGTCGTATAATTTGTGCATTCTGTGAATTATCCAATGGTGCAGCAATAACAATTGTAAAAAGTGTAACAAATGCAATAACGTATTTCATTTTTATTATTTTTATTTTTTAAATTATTTAAAATTTAAAATTTAGTTTTTTGTATTTCTTTAACTATTTGAAAGTGTAATCGTCGAATGATAGTGTTGACTAAATTGTTAACTGCTTTTATAGTAAATTTTAGTTTGTATAATAGAATTTGATTTTATATAAAATGTAAAAATGAAATATTTATTATAAATGTTAATTTTTCATAATCTTTAATAAAAATTTAAAAAATAGAAATACACATAGAAAACAAAAAAGTATATAATTATGTACATACGTTACGTATATGAACGCATCTTCTTGTGATAAATTGGAGATTGTATGATTTAAAAAAAAAATATTGTAATCGAAAAATATATGCATAAATTTATATTTTACAACACCAAAAACACATATACTCCTCACATATACTGCATTAATACTTTGTAAATTTTATTAGTAAATCTATATGTGTATATATGTACAATCGAATTCATTTTTATTACAATCTTGATTTTCTGTTGAAACTTTTAATGCATTTTTTGACAAAATAAGTTAACAAAGGTCAGTAGCACATTTTTGGTATTTTTTTTTTTTATATTTTCATTTTTAAGAAATTTTGGCGGTATTAACAAAAATTTATTATCAAAAAAGTTATTTAAATTTTTGGTGAATATAAGAATAAATTTTCATATTATTATGTAGATTTCAAGATGATCGCGCTAATTTTTCTTGATTTTAGAGCATGAATTTACTATAAATGTATACGAAATTTGGTAAAAAAACAAAATGAAAAGAGAAGTAAAAAATCATATTGTTTCTTTGTTTCTTGTTTTGGGGTCAAATTTTATTTTTTTTTTTTGTATTACAAATATTCTTTTTATTGTTTTCCAAAAACACAAAAAAAATATTACAATTAATTAATTTTACAATATTTTATACCCGATTAAAAATATCCACCACCTACAAAACTAATAAACAACAGCAACATTATAATATTATGATGACAACAAAAATGACAATAAAAATTAAAAAAAAAAAATTAATGACATTCAAAAATATCGAATTGAAATTAAAGAATCGATTAAACTATGTTTACATGTATATAGATATAGACATTTAAATAAGAGAAAACCAAAACAAGAATAATATGTTGTTTGCTCCCCTGTCTGAATTTAGTTTAGGTTCTTAAAAAATTTCTGCCATTTGTATGAAATTATAAAGAACAATAGGCTTAAAATTCACAAAAAAAGAAAAAAGAACATAAGAAATATTGAATAATCAAAAATTGACAGTGAGTGATTGAACTTTTTTGCTTTGATGTACACATACACGAAAGAGACCGGCAATATATTATTTTTTGCTGATTTTAATTGATTTCGGAAGAGCAACTGCATACGTATTTATTTATGTATGTATGTATGTATATCAAAAATGAGAATATAAAATTTAAAAAAAATTGCCTTTTTTTGAGGTTTTGTAAACAAAAAAATTAAATTTATAAGTTGACAATTTAATGGTTCTTCTCCAAATCAATTCCAGCGCCAATATCAGGAAATGGTTTATGCTATTTTGTGTAAAACCATGATTTATATTTTGTATTTTGCCCACAATTATTGTAAATTGAAATTCTTAGAAAATATAATTTTTTCTATAAAATATTTGAAGAATTCAAATTTAAAAATGTCACATTTGAAAAATAAAAGAAAATTTTGAATTTAAAGTGATTATAAATCAAGAATGATTTAAAAATGCTTTAATGTCAATAAAATGAAGTGAAAAGCATTTGAAATCATTTTGCAATTTAAAGAAAAAAAAATTTGAATTAAGAGTAAAGTACTTCTAAAATCTAAGAATAAATCTACGATGTACATTATGTCAGCAATTGCGTTGTTGGTGTTCAAAACTTCGGGAAAATATTAAATGTCATCATAGTCAAAGTGGTGAACGGTGACGGCAAATTAACTAAACACTTTTTTGCATATAATATAATACACACACGGGAACAGATAATATGAAAAAAATGCGGAATTTATATATAACCAAAATACAGAAATTTAGACTATTTTATCGTCGGCGGTTGATTTTGCGGTGGTAATTTTGCTTGATTCTTGACAGTCTCATTTAAATACATATGTGTATTCTATATAAATTCTGACATTTTGTCGCGGAAAATCGCTGTTATTTTGTTTTCAACTATCTGGTGAGAATAGAGAGTAATTACTATTATTTGCGTCATGCAGGACGCTGACGCCAAGCAAGGTTTACAAGCACGACTTTTACAGTTTCAGATTAAATTGTAGATTTTTTCGTATATATTGTATCAAAAGTATTCAATTTTTTTGTGAACAGAAGCATATATATGTTCATTTTATAATTTATGACTACAAATTTCGATTTATAACAGGATAAACCGATTTTTTTTAATTCACGAATTATGAGCGCATCAAAAAATTTAATCAAAAAAAAAAATTCAGATTTTTTGCTATTTAATCATTTTTATAATCAAATTTTGAGTTTTTTTTTTCGTGCACTTGTTACGGCATAATCCCGCATAATAAGTGGCGTTTATATATATGATAAACTGGAATTTGAATACGTAAAATTCACACTATATAATGTGTTTGTATTTAATTCACATTTTTTGTTTAATTTACATTACGTTTGAAAAATTTCAGATGGTTTTATTTTTTACTGGAAATGGAAACTTTTATTCGAGCAAAAAAAACATCATAACCATGTTGATAAAAATTCCACAATTTTCGCGTTTGTAAGTAATGATTCACTAAAATTAGAACACACATGTGTAAATAAACCTTATCAGTTCACAATGTTGAATCTCCCTACGAATTGCTTGCAAGATAGTTGCGTATTATGACTTATGTATGCTATGCAAAACCATTTGTTGAATTGGATTTGAAATGCAATTAAATAATAAATATTTCATCAAAAGACACAAATGAATATCACTAATAATTAAAATGTTTCAATCGAATTGATTGACATAGGAATAAAATTTGGTAAAATTATTTAATTAAAACATAAATTAACTTTTGTGTTGTCTTTTTCTATCGTTAATTGCTTAATAAATATTTGAAGTAAAGAATAAATAAATACTCGAAGGTTGGAATTAACTTCAATTTGTATATAGCATGTTTCTATCATAAGTGCAATTAAATTATTAAAAACATAAGAACATACACATAAAAAATACACAATTTATGATCTTCCATCATAATTTGACAAAAAATATTTGATACTTTTTCTTTTTTTTTTTTTTGGTTTTTACTAAAAAAATCAAAATCTTGTTACTTTGAAACCGGTTTATATGAATTATTTCCTTCGAAATTTTATAAAATGAATTTTACTAAAAAAAAACGATTGTTCTTCACTCTCGATGAATCGAATCAACTCCATATAATGAGGTTAAACGGAAGATATTCTTCTAATAGTATGAATAGTAATATTTGTTTTTTATTAGTTTTTAAATAATTAATTGGATTATGTCATTATAGACAAGTGTATTTTGGAGGAATAACGTTAATATTTGTATTTAATGACTTGCAAAATATATAAGTATGTAATTAAAATTTCTGAGAGTTAAAGAAATATTCAGTATAAATTAAGTTTGAGGACATTGACATTTTGATTAGTGCGTGTATTAAACACAAAGTCTTTTAGTGTGTAAATAATTGCAAACTTTTATTAATTTTAATTTTAACAACTTAAGATTGTCGAAATTCCATACGTATGTATAATTTTCAATCATATTTTTAATATTAACTCATTTTTTTTTAATTATTAATATTCAATAACCAAAATATTTTGAAAATTTTTGAAATTATTACAGTCTCACTCAAAATTTTTAAAGTCTAATGTAAAGTTTAATCTAATGTTGCATCATTATCAGATGAACTTTAGAATTTGTTCCATAAAAGCTCTAAAATTGACTATTTGAACGGAAATTATGTGTCTTTCCTCGTTATGGTATTCTATATACTGTCGAACTATAAGAATAGACGAGTCAAGAAAATTACTGCCGAAGGAACGACAGTTTTCGAAGATTGCCATAGTTTAAATTTCCAAAGATTTCCCGAATAAAATAAGGTAATGTTATGCATATAAAGTTAAATGTTTTCAAAAACCGCAATCTTCCAAAATTTATTCTATAATTGAGTAAAATTGAAAGGTCACAAAATTTTATATTTATTTTGTTCTTTTGCGTTTATGTTTTGAAAATATCCTACTAAAAATATTACAATTAAATTCAATTGATTTTTTTCTACATATACTTACAATGTAAAAAATCTAATATTTTACATGGAATGCAGTCTAATTTATTTATGGCTAAGCGATCATTTACACAGCTAAACGCATCAATTGCACATTTTTGCGCTTAATGGTTATACAAATTGAAAAAATTCTGTGTCATAATTAAATTGTAATTATAAATTTGTTTTTGAATTTTATTATTTTAAATTTTTAATTTAAATAAAATTTTGTTGCACACTTGAATTTCTTTATGAGTTTTAAGAATAATAAATTGTAAATTATTAGTAATTGCGCATATTTAAGTTGCAAAAATTGATATTTTCTTATTTCTGCTGAACTTGGTGCTTATACGCATTTGCTGACTTGAGATAGAAGAGGTAAAATGAATTTGTATATAATAGTAATCCATTAAGTGATTTCTAAATTGCCATAAATTTTAGCTTTGAGAATAACTTATACAGAATTTTTGCAATTTCTTGATAATTAAACCCATTAGAGCTTAAAATAATAATTAATTTCAATAATAATGAAATTGCACTTGCCAATTTATTTGTGGTATTTTTTTACATTTTTCAATACAACTTATCCTAACGTTATCATTCCAATGTTTCTGTTTTGCGTTAACTGGTTTAAAACCGCACCGGTAAAACTTTGTGATAAAACATATTATTTCAATTTACAAACGTTACATACATACATTAAAAAATTTTTTAAAAGGTTGAATGTAATATTTTCAAATTATACTAAAAACAAAAATAAAAGATATTAACAAAACTAAAATTACGGTAATCGGATCTCGTTTGTATTAATTATTTACCAATATTAAATACTTTACAATAAACATACACATATCACCACGAATAATACGCGTGCAATATACATAAATTTACCTGAACGATGTAATTTCCTTGACCTTCATCAATAAATTATCTAAAATGTAAGAATGTGGACGCTTTATTTTTTGTGTTCGTGATTTTAATAGCATCGACTTTAAACTGAGAGAAAAATTTTTAATTTAAATTATTCTCTTTTTTGTACGTCTGTCATAAAATTTTCAGTTTTTCAAAATTGCTGGCAAATATAGTCTTTTCCCTAATATATTTTCGTCATGATAATAAATTAAGTGTCACATTAACCTCATATTGCAATGCTCTTAAAATTGAGAATTAATACTTATCATCCATGTATCAAAAATGAGAAAACGTTCAATGTTCAAGATAGATTCTTCAAGGTAAAAAAATCTTCATTCTCTTACTACCAGTCTTATTTTATTAGAATCAGGAATGTAATTTAACGGCGTTTTTTTTATTTTGTTCTGTATATATTTTAAGAAAAATGTGCTGTTTTGAAAATCACTTATGCAATTTTAACTTGTGCTCCAAAAATGTTTTTGTACCAATAAAAAAATATTGTAGTTTTCTCTTCTTTGAATCAGTTTTTATATAATTACCTACATAATATTCGGAACTACGCATATATGTATAGTAAATTTTGGGACACTAATTATAAATTGTCTTTTATAAAAAAAACTATACAAACATATTCCGTGGTCAACTGCCCACGTCTTGGAATGGGGTTATATATTCACAATTTACTGCACGCATATAATGTTAATATGTTAATAATTAAGTAGTATCGCAATTATAATAAATATACCTAAAAAATTTAATTAAATTGGTTATTGCAATAATTTTAAAAAATTAATCATTTACTTGAAATAGAGTTTTAACTTTAAGAGGAAAGTTAGAGACACTGTTATATTATAGCGAAAGTAATAACTACTTATTAACGAAAATTTAAAACGAACTAAGGCTCAATTATTATGTTCAAATTGATGGCTGCAATTTACCTGTAAAATTAAAATTAATACTCAACCCATATTAGTGTTTAGTAAAATATTACTGGCGTGGCACCTAAAGTTATACCGACTGTTACGTTATATTAATGGCGCCTGATGTTGAGTAAATAATTTAAGAACTCTTATTAGTATATCAAATATATATACATACTTAGTAGATTGCAGTTATATAAAATTTATATACAAAAATATATACAAAATATTTAGGAATATCTTGGCATTCAAAGGCAGCTTTTCAGAAAAATTATAGAACATTTAAGAAAAGTATTTTGTATTTATTTTTTCTATTTTTATATTAATTCACATTTAAGTAATGCAAATTTTTTTGGTTTTTCTAAAAATATTAAATTAATACTATAAAAGGCATTTAACACTAACATCTGTTTTGTATATATATGTATATATATATATATATGTATATATATATATGTATATATAATTACTCTATTGGAATTACTGAATACCAATAGAGAAATAAAATCTGAAAGAAATCAAATTAAAGAGGAGCTCTTGCTAATTTGAATTCAATTTAAATGTATTGTACAGCATAGAATTAATACGCGTTTTTTGTTAAAAATAATATTAAGGCTGCGGTAAATGTGCTCCTTCCGGTTGATAACCATTCTCATCTGCAACATATGTTAATGTATATGTTTGACCATCATCAGCAACCCATGATACTGATCCGCGTACTGAAATTGCTTCTTGTTCTGTACCAGGATTTTTTAATTGACCTTCTTCTTGACGTGAAATACCGTCACTAGTTTCATAGCTGTAACAGAAACAAAAAAAAATTTAATTATTTTATCTGAATTTAAAACTAAAAAAATAAAGGTCAATGATGTCATTGTAAACCGTTATATAAAATTTAATTTTTATTTGAATTTGTTTTTTCTTATTTTTCTAAGAATTTTTATTTTATGTGTCTACATTGTGCATGTATATTTTTTGGAATTGAATGCATAGTTATCGGAATAATAAAAATTTTTAATTAATAATCATAGCAAAAAAAGAAAAACATGTGTAATGCAGGCATTTTTTTATTATGATGGTAAAAATTTTTTGAATTTTTTTTTCTCACCAAAAAAAATGTTGTTTTTTTCCTATGCATGATTTTGCAATATTTTTACATTTAAATCAAACATTTCTATACGTTTAATAAAAAATGTAAATTTTTTGAAATTACAATGCCAAATTATTTCATTGTTCTTGTCTGTCTCTCATATTGTACAAATCTTTGTAAATCGGTTTGTTTGTTCAATTATTATAAAAAACATGAATAAAAATTTCTATGAATATATTAAAAATTGATTGTAACTTACGAAAATCTATAACCATCGACACCGATATTATCGAAATCTGATCTTATGATTTGTGCATTCTGAGAATCATCGATAGGAGCAGCAAGGACACAACAAATCCCAATTGAATAAATAATTGTAATAATAGTAAATTTCATTTTATTATTTTAATTTTTTGCTATACAAGATGATATGAAAGAATTAAGCAAAATCAAAGCGAAAAATCCCAAACGTATATTTTGTAGAATATTTTTATTTTTTAAATTTACAATACAACCAATATCTTAGTTTTATCGTAAATAACTAATTCCAATTACAATGATTCGTTTTCTTTTATATATTTAACTACAATATATATGATTAGCAAAAATCTTTAATCATCTTCTTTTTTTTTTGTTTTAATGAAATTTTTGGTGCTTTTTAGGCATAAAATCTCAATATCTACATTGTTGTTTTGTCTACTTTTTTCTTCTATACTTAAAACAAGAAAGTTTTAATCAAAAAATTATAATTTTTTAGTAAAATATAGTAAAAGAGAAAAACATAAATATTAAAACTAAAAACCAAATTTAAGAAGTTTTATTAGAAAAATAATTTTTCTATATGAAAACAAAATGAAAAAAAATAATCAAACCACTTTTTCATTTTGCCACTCTTCTCTTTTAAAATTTAAATATAATTTATGAATTATTACAATAAATGACAACAATAATAGAAAAAAACAAAAAGCCGCATTTGAATTTGACATATGCCTAATCAGTACGCTCGTGCACATACTGTTATTAATTAAACAAATTGTTAATAAAATAAAAATTAAAACTTGTAGCACATTTCCTTAAAACATTAATCTTATATTATATTATTTTAAAGTAGTTTACGTGTAATAATAAGGATAAGAAAAATGTGATATAATTGCAGAGACTTACCTGCGTCTGCCTCACAAGGGCTATAAGAAAATGCTCAATTCCAACATCGAAGGTAATATTGGAACTAATCCTACTTTACCTGATTGCCAAGGCAGCAGTGGAGACTTTGATCTTCAGGTTAGAAAATACAGGACAGTAATATTTGCAGGAAGAGTTCGGAATTATACCAAAGACTGTACAGTTCAGAGGCAGAGCTCTGAGAAAATTTTTACTCTGTGAGCAGATAACAGAAAGAATTGAGAAAGCAAATTCGCACTATACCAAATAAGATCACGTACTATCAACTGTTACACGGAAGGGTCAAAACACATATTCTTCATATTTGTGGGTAAATGCCCTGCCTTCATATTTATAGGGAGCCTGTCAAATCATTAAAATATGCGCACTATTTATTCTTGAAAGAAAGCATCAAACATAAGACATAATGATAATATCACAGTCCAGGTCTAGTGAAGAATTCATATTCAGTATACTCTGCGGCAGTATTGGGCTGTCTTAATAAGCTCATAATAATTGTTCTAAAATTTTCGTGTCATTTTTTTTCTCATACCTATAAATTTGTATATATTTAGTAATGCTTATTTTAAAGAGTCTCCAGTTTAATTAAAAATTTATTCTGAAATACAGACACAGTAACACATAATAATTAGTTCATATACTCATCTGCCCAGCACGTTTAGTTAAATTTGATTTGACTGTATATAAAAAGGCATTCATTTATAATTTAATAAAACATATTTGATTGTGATATTTCTTTTTTTTGTTTTGTGTAACTCGCCGTGCCATGATATCTAATTAACATAAATAGTTACCGATTTTTTGTTTTTATATTTTAATTTTAACCAAAAATGTCTAAATTTAGCACACAATTTTTTTTTTTTAACTCTCTACGGACACCATTTTAAAGTTGTGATTATGTGGGGGTCACTTTTCATATATCTTCCATATTAGAGATATAAAAGTTCTGTAAACAAAAAATTAAAGGAAATTTAAAATTATTTAAAGTTAAAACGTAAAAAACCTTATTCTGAATAAACCGATACATCGAAAACTTCTAAGTCTGATATAATACTCTCCAAATAGTTTTTCGATTTTTCGTGTTCCTGTTCATACTTTATTTTCTATTAGCAACAACATTTTTGTCGATCTACTCAACAGCACACTTATTTTTATACTCAGCAAATTTGCATGAAAACAAGACGAGCTTACTCGTAATGACACAAAGCGAATTATAAAATTTTTTATATACATGTACGCAAATACACACTTGAAAGGTATTTTGATTTCGAAGGGGTGACGAAATACACACAAACAATTTAATCTTTTATTATATTGACTAGTAGTCTCGATGTCATGATAAATTTTAACGAGTACATTCGTCATGACCCAAAAGTTGACTCTATTTTATTGGCGATTTTACTCGTCTATGCCAGTAAGTGGGTTAAATATTTTAATGATTATTATTATTAGTCTTTGTTTTAAATGGCTTGTTTTAAATCAATAAAAGTCGAAAATTAAATGTTTTATTTTGATTTTTTTCTATATTTTTTATAATATAATTAAAATTTTTAATATAATATTTAAAATATTAATAAATTACAAATATATTAAGGTTGCAAAAAAAAAAATTGAGAAATAAATTAAATATATATGTGTATGTGTGTGCGACAAACGAAATTATCTTAATTGACTTGTATTCATTCATAATTTATATTAAAAAAAAAAAAACAAATATAAAAAAAAGAGAAAAATTTTATCTGTTTTTTTAATTTTTTATTCCTAATCGATTTCTTATCATAATTGGTCATTTAATCATCCTAAACAAATCTGTTAGATATTTAATATGATAATGAAAAATAATAATCATAATGACAAATGACAATAAAATCTTGATATTTGTCGCGTTTTTAAAGTATTTGCAATTATAATATTTCAAGTTTTTTCTTAAATTGTTGTAGGTGTTATTAAGAATTTTAATCGTATATTTTTAATTAAATTTGATTATTGAAACAAAATAAGATAATAATGAAGATAAGATAATTAATTAATTATGATTTGAAGAACAATGTATGTAATTTTAAGTTAAAGCCGGCTTGGACTAGATTAATTTAGTTAGCAAAAAGTCGGATATGTTTGAATTTTTAGGTTGCAAAGCATCTTAACAAATAAGCTATTGGAACTTAAGAAAATAAAGCTTGAGGACAATTTTTCAACAAAACGATGCGCCACCTTCTTCAGAATTGCAATCTTTAGTTACTTTTGGCTCATTTTTGAAGCAGACGTTTTTCTGTCTGTTAGTCCGTCCATCTCTCCATCCTTCCATTCGTCTATTCATTCACCCCTTCTTCCGTCCATAGATAGATAGATAGATTCTAAGGGAACCGAGTGGGACAGGAGCATCCCCCCAAGCCACCGCAGCCATTTTTGACTTATTGTAGCCACCCCACTCTCCCGTCTATAATATCCCCGTCCCAATCCACCCGTTCTGGTATATGGCAAAGTTAATTTAAATAAATTCGTAAATTGTAAATAAAAGCAGTATTCTCACTTGTTCAAGGGGTTGATTCTTTAAAAACCATTGGTTTGATCCATAAATGTGGAAAAACTGAAAAACTTTCACTTTCCAATAGAACTCGATTGTTGAAGGTGCGTGCATTAAGGTATTGTGCTGTTATGTATGAAGAAATTACCTTTCTTTTTCTAAATTTCAATTTTACTTAGATTAAGTTAATTTTCAGATTATTGTTTTCCCCCTAGAATTGTTTGCATTATTAAACAATTATTCATTATCAACGTATTTTTTATATTATTGCCAAAAAACTATGTGTAGCAGTTTTATTAATTTACTATAAAAAATTTTTATAACATTATTACTATTATTATATCTTCTTATACTACGAGTATAATAACTTTTAGTAATAAATAATAAATTTGAATGAAGTTGAATGAATTTTTGCTTTAGAAATTAACCTGCGGATAAATGATGAACCTATACTATATAAAATTATAATATACATATAAGTACCTACAATGTGATTAATTAATTTTTAAAATGATGATAGTGTAGGGCAGACCATCAAAATTTTTCTACATGAATTCATTTTAGAGGAGCAAACAAAAAAAAAAAAATATTTCTAATTTTTATAATTTACATTCAATCCGTTTTTTGTTACTTGTTACGAGCTAAAAATTGTGATTTTCTGTAAACTTTAGTCGCTTAGTAAAATTAGAGTTACTGCACTTTTTAACGTACATATGTGTATATCTGTATTAAATAAGAGTAATTTTTAAGCTTCTTACTAATTTTCAAAAATTAAGTAATAATTTTAATTTTGATGTTGTTTTTTTTTCTTGCTTATGTTTCAACTTTACACGAGGTTTGTAGGTCTCATTATGTTTTTGGTTCTTTTTTAAATAATTCATTATTATTTAGACAATCATTCAGTCAATTATTAAATCAGTTATCGCGGTCAGTATGATCTTAAAGATGATGTAGGTAAAATATAAAATTATGTTTTTTTTTTCTTATCTGTAATAATTGTAGTGTATAACATTATCTTGTATATCTTTAATGTATTTTAGTTTTAGTTGTAATCCTAATCAATTTTGATTAATAAAAAAAAATATATTTTGAGGTTTTGATTATTGTTGTTTTTTGTCTCAATTAATTAACAAAAAGCAAAATTAAGAAAGTTTGAAAAAATAATAACAAAAATATATGTATGTATGTATGTATAAAAGGTTTAAAATATGTTTAGTAAAAGATTTCGAAAGAAAAAGTAAGATGAACCAAAGTATTTGTAATAAATTTGACGTTTGACACATTTAGTTGAAATTTGAAACTGCGCCATCTATATTTTAAAATTGCAAAAATGTTTAAAAGAAATTTTTTTATGGTACGTCTTTTCTTGTTGTTTTCCTCTTTTCTCAAATTATTATTAATGAGGTGTGGAATTTCGAAAAAAAAAAATTACAATTTTTATAATGATTATTACCAATTTTTTTTGTATTAATATTAATTTTCTATATTGTTATTAATTTTAAAAATATAATTACAAAAAATTAAAATTATTGCTATTTGAGTCTCATTATAATTTGACGCAATTATCAGTGGTAATTAAATTTTTTTTTATCTCTATCTAACAATAGCAATCATATGATTTGTGCAAGCAACTAATAAAAATACAATGCATATACTATTAAAGTACTTACATATGTATAACCTATTTCGA